GGGGTCCTCGCTTTCCTCCGGGCGCCGGGAGCGAGGGGCCCCGGAGCCTTCACGGAAGTCCCCGAGAGCCGCAACGCCGCCCGGAGTCCGGCGTCTCTCCGGGGCAAGTCAGGCTCGGTCTCCTGCGGAGCTCCTCGCGGAGCGGGGCTCTGGGATCAGCCCCATCGCGCCTCGGTCTCGTTCTGGCGGCTTAAATCCCGCTGCTGCTTCTGCCGGGGCGGTTGTAGGCAGGAGCAGATGCCCGGCGGAGGGGGTCTCAGCCTGCTCGGCTCTGCCCGCAGCCCAGGAACAGCGTCTCTGCTAGCCTGCTCGGAAGCCTTTTCTGCAGCCTTCATCCGCAGGACTCTCCGCGAGGCACAGTTGAGCTAAGCACTGCTTGTAATAAGCAGGGGACAAGGATCTCCGCCGCAGCCCATCTGGGCCCGTCCAGGTCAGGGAGTCTTCGCAAACGGGGTATATCATGATGAGGCTCAAGTCACACTTTCTCTCCTCTTCCTTCTTCTCTGCGCACACGCACACGCACACGCACCCACCCAGCCTTTGTGCTCCAGCTCGCTTCCTCATCCAGTAAACCATCATTTGCTACTTGCCAAACCAGGCGGCTTTTGTTCCAGCGAGGTCCAGAAGGCTGTGGTGGTGGAGGGCTCTGCTGAAGCCCTCAAGGCCAAGGACCTGCTCTGCGCAGAAGTGCAAAGGAAACCATCCGGACGGATGGCTGGCCTGCTTCTGCTGGAGCCTGTGATCTTTTCGGAATATTCCCTTGGAATCTGCTTGCCTGTCCCTTAAGGCCTTATTCCGGGTCCTGCATTCTGGGGTGATGGAGAACAGGCTTTGATGTTCTTTGTGACACCCTGATGGCTGCTGTTAAAACCCTCTTTGATCTTCTCTTCCCCAAGTTAAACATCGCCAGGGCCTTCATTCTGCCTTATTTTCCACTTCCCTGGTCGTTCTCTTTATCCTGTTCTGAACCTATTCCAGTTTGAATCCTTAATGTGCAATGTGCGTGTTGCTGAAAACTGAACATCAACATGGAGTCTGATTAATGCAGCGTAAAGGGTGACTTCCTGTGTTTTGAAAACTATTCTTCTGTTGATGCAGTCTGAAATTCCATTTGCCTTTTTTGCAGCCACACCACATTACTTCCTCATACTTGGTTTGTAATCTACCCCTATTCCTAGACATTCTTCACAAATATTGTCTAGCATGGTGTCCCTTGTTCTCTACCTGCGCATTTGATTTTCAGTTTCCTAACTTGGAACATTGTCTTTGTTAAATTTCATCTTGGTATTTTCAGCCCATTTCTCTACTCTATTAAGATCATTCTGAATTGTATTGCTGTTGTCTCAGATATTAGTTATAGCCCTCAATTTTGTGTTATCTGGAAATATGATAAGCATTCTCCCTCCACCTAAAATGTACACAGCCCAGGACTTAACCTTCTGATATTCTACGTGGTACCACCCTCCAGTTTGATGAGGAACCATTAATGAAGGATACTCTTTGAGTATGTTTTTTGAGCTAGCTTTCTGTCCACTTAATCGTCATGCCATCCAGCCCACGCTTATCTAGTTTGATTACCACAATGGTGTGGTCAAAGGTTTTGCTCAGATGAAGATACCTCGTGACTAAGGCAATTGTGGCACAATCTACTACGGCACTTACCAAATCAAGATTCAGTTAGGCTGTCAAGATCTGTGCTTAACAAACCCACGTTGTTGTTTGCAAGGCCGCTTCCTTGATTGATAGAGAGATCACTGGGTGATATGCCCTGGACTCTTCCCGGGAATTCGTGTACGTTTCAGGATCCCTCTTTTGAAGGGAAGGAATCAGGAAGTGGATGTTTTGGTATTTCATGTGAATCAATCAAATATCTACTGAGAATAGGTGTGAACCTTAAGGTAGCAACTTGCCAGCTGAGATTTACAATCTTGGTTTGGGTCTCCTGTTTTCACAAGCCTAATGTTTTGAAAAGGATATTATTTCCAGTATTTTAGAAGACACAGTATACAAAATTAAGCTCCCTGCCTTCCTAGTGAATGGGATAGCTCTTCCCTATTAGCCACAGTATATTTAATCAATGTTGTCGATGCCTTATAGTATCTTCACCCATGTTCCTTGCTACTGTGCGCTTGCCGCAAATTTATAATTGCAGTGCTTCCAGGAAGTGCAGATCTGTTCAGTGCTCTGTTTGTTCAAAGCAGCATGCCATAAAAGCCAAACACTGAGAAAAGGCCTGTTAGTTTTTCTCTGCTAAGAATTAGTGCCTTTGAAGCTGCTGATTATAAGCGATTGTGTTGAATGCACAGGTCTGCTCAGATTCCATGAACGTCAAGCACTCAAGAACTTTTCAAGCGATCTTTGATGTGAGAGGCATCAGGAAAGTCTGGGACAAATGCAGGGAACTAGCTGTGGAAACAGACGTTTTTGTTGCTGCTTTCTGTTGAACATTAAAGCCTTCAGTTCTAAGGGGCACAGTGATCCTTCAGGGAGCAAGCTGTTGTTTATCTCATGGCTATATTTATATCCATGTTTTAACTTGCAGACTGGTTGGTTCAAGTTGGGGCAGGTTGGTCCCTGCTCCTCCACCCATATTATTAGGGTTAATCCTGGTTGTATATGTTGAGTTTTGCACAGCTTAGCTTTGCCTTCAACACCCCACCTCTCCCCCAAGGATAACCTACCTGGTGCCCTGCAGATGTTTTGGGCTGCTTCTGCCCCAGTTCTACGGTTCCAGTTGGCTGAGCTGATGTAATTTGAAACATGTCCAAAGTGTCTGGAGTGCACCAAGTTGCAAACCTTGGTTTATCAATGTAGGAGAAATGGAGAATGATGTAGGGCTTTCTGGTATGTAGACAGTAATTATACAGCCCCTTTTAATTATAAATAAGGATTATTGGGTGGCCATGATATTTCTCCACCACGTTCCCCCCTCACCAGAACTAAGTACCTTTCTAGGAATAACACAGTGTTTGAAAAACACTGGAATAATATGTGATGTGACTTCTCACCAATGGTTGAAACAGTCTTCTAAACATAGATGGAATCTAACTTTAATGTGTCTTGATTATGAGCTCTTCTGGGTCTCAGTTCATCTTATATTGGTGCTATATAATCTCTGTTCAAAGTGTGCAGTATTCAACGTTAGCCAGGTAGCTCAATTTAACTACGTTTTTGTAATCTTAAAACGTATGCTGAGGAATATGGGAACTTGACACAGGCAAAGTTACTTGATCAGGGAGTACTTTTCAGCCGACCACATTTTTCTTCTGAAACTTATCTCCCTCCCAAAATGCACTGCATATATATCTCTAATAATATATGTAACTCAAATAATTTTTTAATGTATAGGAAAATTAACAGTCCATTACAAGTTCTATTAGCTTAAAAGATTGTGGCAGAATAGCGTCTTGAAAAAAGAGTGTGTAAAAGGGAAAAAAGTACCCCATTTTCCTTGGTTTACCTCCTGGACTAGCCAGTGAGTAAATATCAGCGAGTTCAAAGAACCCCTTTGATGTTCAGATTTTAAAAATCCGGTTTTCTGTTTTCCCCAAAGTCTTTTCCCTTTT